TCGACTGACTGACTGACCGACTCCCGTTCCTATTACTACTCCTACTTATATTAGGTGGGAGAGTCTATTAACTATATAATAGGTGTGTTTCACTCTAACACACACACACATTATATATATATATATATATATATATATATATATATATATATATATATATACATACAGTTTATGCCTCATAGTTACAACGCGCATGAAACTTTAAGTAGCATCGAGCGGAGAGGAACAACTATATAATTTTTTTTTATCTAAATCTTAGCTCTGTTATTTTACATCGTGTACATTCTTTTTTACTCCCAGCACACACTTCGCATTATATATATATATATATATATATATATATATATATATATATATATATATATATATTCTTGTTTAGTTTTTATTATATTTTCGAATTATGTTTCACAATCTTATCAAAACATTGGATAAACTGTCCAAATTCTTTTTTGTTCGACAACTTTCTTTATCCACTATCCTCACTCACTCCCTAAGAAACAAATAACACACACAGACACACTTAACAGAGACACATCCCCTTTCCAGGAACCAATAAAACTGTCAAAAGGACCAAGGGAATTCAGAGCAGCATGAATCCATCCGGCTCTTATCTTAAATAACAACCTAAAATAGACTGTTTGACCAACACCAGGACTGACCAAAATTCATGTTAAAAAAATAAAAAAGCAAATGAAAACTACAAAGTTCATTTTGTCCATCAAGACATTCATTTCTGTAGTCCCTGATGATGGCCATGTTGGCCGAAACTAGTCGAGGAATCTAAGTGAAATAATAATAAAAACGAAAAATTATTAATATACAACTCACTGTCTGAAGATTTTAATTTTTTAATATTTTTTAATATATATTTAAGACATTTTTTTTATGTTTATACGTTCTTTTTATAGATACAAATATTTAAGTAAATGCTCTGTTTATAATAAACAGTATTAAACAACATTTACCGGCCTGAATGTTATTAATACTGTTTATTATAAACAGAGCATTTACTTAAATATTTGTATCTATAGAAAGAACGTATAAACATAATGTCTTAAATAATTGTCGGACTTTCTCCATATCATAATGTGTGTATATATATATGTGTGTGTGTGTCAGTGATCCCTCATATATAGTTCAAACCCTAATGACGTTAAAAAGTATTTATTTTAAACATCAAATATCTTTCAACATGATCTTCTGTGTCGATGCACTTGATTCAATGCTGGATATTAATCACAGAAATAAAACATTATACAATGGAAATACCAAGTGAAAATTCAGCTAATAAGATGCCGGGTTATGGGCTTTGTGTGCGTGTATGTATGGGAGTGACTGAGTGAAAATATATATTTAGATAGCAACAATTCAGTTGAACAAGTTCCTTGTAATTCAACTCTGAAGATCTATTTGTTTAATTTTTTATTATATTTTTCCAATTTTCGAATAATTTGTTGCACATTCTATTCACTATAAAATTAAGGATAAACGATCATTTATTCGTATTCTGGTTTTGTTTCATAGCTTTCTTTATTCAAAAATCTTCTTTATCCACAATGTTAAATCCGAACGCCCAAGAATTTATTGGAAATAACCATAAAAATGTCGTTACAGAGTATAAATGTCAAGAATATTGAATTTAATAGCAAAAGCAACGTTTAAATATACATTGTTATCTTTACTTCTTTTTTTTTTAATTTTATTTATGGTGAATTAATTTTATCAAAATATTTACATATCCGAAGAAGAGACTGTGTAAAACTTAGTGTCAGTGTAATATTTGGTAAATGAATGACAAAGTGTAAAAAATAAGTTTCGTCACTAGCGTTCATTTATCTGAAGAAGTCTCTACTATGGTTGAAATGCGTAAAGTAGGATTTTTACCTCTCTCTTTTTCGTAAACATCCCCATATATATATATATATATATAGTATTGGTGTATACGTAATAAATTCCATTAACCAACAAATACTATTCTTAAGAGTGCTCAATACAGAGTAGAGCAAATAATTATTTATTCGAAAATTATAACAAATAAGTTATAAAATCACTACAAAAATAGCCATTTTGTTTCAAAACTTCTGTTGTCTTATCAAGTGATGATGTTGGATAAGACGCCAGAAGTGTTGAAACAAAATGGCTATTTTTGTAGTGATTTTATAACATATTTAGGTCATAATTTTCGAATAAATAATGATATATATATATATGGAGCGGGGATATAATAAGACAAAGTGGAAAAGATATGATTTCTTTCTTTGTCTTGACTTTACTTTTGTTCGGATACTTTTCTACATCCTACTATCACGCACATTGTGTGTGTGTGTGTAGAGAGAGAGAGATTATAAATTTGATGAGTTTTCTATTTTGCATTAAATTATAAAATAATTAGGATAGTGGAGGTGCTAAGAAGTTTATTTGCTTTTTTTGTTTTTTCAGTGTAATTCTTTTCATGATAACAATATTAAGGGCTACAATTTCTGAGCGTTCTTGAAAAGAATGTGACAGTTATTCCGTGTTTTATTCTGTTGGTATAGTGGGAATAGACATTCCTTAGATCATTGTTATTAGTCGATTAGTTTAAGTCATTATCAGTGCGGTTATTAAATTGGAATTAACGACATATATTTTATGCAGATAGAATTTCAAGTATAGGAAATTTTCACAAAAGTCATGTTTTCATAGACAAAACCAAAATTTGAAAAATTGCATTTCTGTGATTTGAAATTTAATGACAAAACTGATTTTAACTGTATATAACTTACCGACACTCACCCTTATATATATATATATATATATATATATAGAGAGAGAGAGAGAGGTAGATATATAGATAATATGTATATAGAGAGGTAGATATATAGATAATATGTATAGAGAGAGATATATAGATAATATGTATAGATAGATTATATATAGATAGATAATATGTATATATATATATAGAGAGAGAGATTATATATATATATATATATATATATATATATATATGTGAGAAAGATAGATAGATAGATAGATAGATAGATCAATGTATAGATAAAGATATAAATAGATATAGTTAAATATAGATATTATGGCTACCACCTCATTACAGAATATAGTCAGAGTAAGACATTTTTGCCATGAACAGAAATAGATCTTTAAACCTAACAAACATTTTAAACATCTGGCACATAGTTACCAGACATAAGAAACACATTTTTTTTTAAATGATTAGATTTATTTCTGTAACTATTTGCATGTCTCATCAGCCTGCCAGTTGACTTGGATACTTTTCCAGAAATCTGACATGAAATGTTAGTACTTAATACGATTTCTTTATTGGCCGGCACTCTGGTACATTGACTTTGCATATGACACAATTTTCCCCCTTTACTCAAGCAAAACGTACCACAAACATCACATATGAGGCCATGCCTGTCACCTATATGCTCTCCATAGTTCCACTTCATGAAACGTTTCGGAAATTTCTTTTCAGATTTTTGTTCGCTATCCGAGAAATCTCTAAAATAACATTTCATCATTAACATTCTCCCGCACGAGGACACAATAATATATATTTCCTTTTACAATTATAAACAATGAAATCAACGATAATCTGCCTAAGATTAAGAGATTCTACTAAAAAAATAATGTGCCCCTGGCTGGAATCGAATCTGTATCTTTTTTTTTCAATCAATTTTTTTTTTTTTTTTTTTAGTCAAATCGTGCCGTTACCAGTTTGGCTACGGGTACCAGCCTAAGAGAACAACGTTTGTAGTACTTATTTTAGGAAATCATTTGTCTCGCTGGCAACATAAATACATGTACCCACAAAAAATAACGATTGTACCATTGTAGTAATAAGAAATAATGTCGGATAAATATCCTTACAGTAGATTATGTATATATATATATATATATATATATAATCAGCCTATTTCTATCTATCAGTCTGTTTTTAATCTGGATTTACCACTGTTTTACGCAGTTCATACCTATCTATTTATCGCTTTATACTTCTGTCTATCGCAGTGCAATCCTATCTATCTATTTGTCTGTCTATCTATCTATTGCTTGATATTTCTGTCTAACACAGTCTGTTCCTATCTGTCTATCACTTCATATTTCTGTCTAATGCAGTCTGGTCCTACCTATCTATCGCAGTTTGTTACTATCTGTCTATCTATCGTCTTATCTAAGTGTTTCTATCTATCTTCGTATCTAAGAGTGTTTCTGCCTGTCTATCTATATATTCATGTATTTTGATGTGTATGTGTGTGAAAATGCATGAATAAGCATATACATACATATTCAAACAACAATAAATAACCATTTAATTATAAACCTAATCCACTATAATTAACATCCGAATGCTTAAGATACCATCAAACATCGTGCATACACACACACACATATATATATATATATATATATATATATATATATATATATATATATATTATTACTTTATGTGGAGGAAGAATGATCTAACAAACATAATCGAACAATTTTAGATTAGATTACATCACGTAACGTCCTCAAGAAAGTAATTTAAAATTAAGTTGGCGTTAGAGATTAACGTTTTTTATGTAACCTAGATATGATATCTGTTAATACATTCAATCGATTTATCATGCTACTGATAAGCGGGAAAGAAGTCTTTGAACTTTTTTAATAACTACCTCCGCTCTGGATATATGTATCCTGGCATGATATATATATATATATATATATATATATATATATATATATATATATATATATATATATATAATAATGAAATGGACTAAGTCCTACAATTATTTTAATATATTTATTGTTTATACATTATTTTTATAGAAAATTCTTCCTTAAATATTTGTATCTATAAAAATAACGAATTATATATATATACAGATATACGAATGTGCTTTGTCTTATTTGACGTAATATTTTTATTACTTTTGTGTGTCTGTATTATAGTTTTGTGGCTGTGTTTCTTTGTAAAAAAACGGCCGCTTATATCAATGGAAATTCACTCATCCGGCCAGTTTGTCGGAAGATGTATGCCGGCTTCCAAACGGCGGTATTTTTTCCCTCTTGTTGAGAGAGAATGTCCGACATTGAAGAGCAGAACTGCACGAAGTCGGTAACTCTCGGCTAAAGCCATGAACGCCGAGCGTAGTTGCATTATGAACGGACCTGGCAAATGAAAGCGAAACGTTTCTCCTGCAGACAACCGCGTCAAGCGTGCTTCCCGACAATATGGTAGTTTCTACGCTCTTCCACGGATTCTTTGTAACGTTGAACGCAAGAGAGAAGTGGAAGGAATGAAAGACAGAGTGATGGCGATGGGCGACAAGGCAAGGTGTGGGTGGGCTGAAGAAGGGGAAGATGAAAATGTTAGAGAGATGGTTGTCATGGAAGCGCACGCTAGTTCAGACCGTAGAAGAAATATAATTGATTTTCTTCCGTAAGACGCAGGCAATAGGCTTACCTTTTTTTTTTTTTACGTTTACTTCGCGCCATGATGCTATTTGAATTATTAATCATTTGCCGTAGCCCGTGAAAAATAGAATTGCCACAGCAGTTTTTTTGGTGACCTCAACACATTATGGCCCTAGAGTATCAAAATACTTGTATTTCGAAGCTGTGAAGGTGAGATAGTTGATTGCACTCTAGAGGTAATGAGGGAGAAAAACCTTGCTGAGATTAATCTGGGAAAATATTAAGACGAAATATTTGCTTAATATCGTATCGACTAAAATCAAATATAAAATAGAACTACTGAATTCTACATACTTTACATGTTTTCAGGCGTATCTATATACCTGGGATGTGTTTATTTCGTTTTACGGTATATCAACTTCAATGGGTTATTTAATGCCAACAAGATTTTTAGAATAGATTCGTACGAATAGAATATGTATTTTTTGTAAGAAATCAGTTTGTCGGAGATCAGGTTTTATTGACGTATTTTTGTAAAGATGGTTTGAATAATGGTTTAGTGATTCAATTTTTACTCAACTCGTAGTTGAGGAGATAAGTGGATCCATGCCTTTCGTAAGGGTATTTCCGCGTATATGAATATACCGAACCCCAACTGGAATTGGAATTCGGCTCTCCGATTAACAATTCCGAGCCATTATCCATTACACCGCCTGCACATCCACGCTTACAGTACTTGCTATTACCAATCGGTCACCCATCTATTATATTCTTGGTATGAGGAGGAATTTATGGATGATCCATTAGTTCAATGTTGATCAAGCCGAATCAACGAAGACAAAAGTCCCTATATTTACTGTAAGGATCCACAGACTTTTCAAAGTTTAGTGTTTGTAAAAATTTCCCAGTTCCATTAACAACTTTTACTGCTGACATTAGGACACGCTTTTCACCCTACGCACTGTAGAACAGCAGAGACGTGCTATTTGAGGGACAGACTTACAGGAACCAGGCAGCTGTATTAAAAGATTTTCAGCAAGAGTTTCTCAAATGCATGACCTTAACTCTCAATTCAAACATAGGTAAATTGTTTGCCTGAACCTTGCAAAACATCTGTTGCCACTTCAACACGCATGCGTGTTTCAATATGTTTTTAAAGCTCAATTGTAGAAAAAATTACTGAACACCAGAAATGGATTAGAGGCTTTATTTATTAGAAATATATAAATTTAAAAAAAAATATAAATAAGCGTTTAGAAGAGAAGTTAAATTAAAAACCGATTTGTTCCCGCTTTCTGAAATTCATTTTACATCAATTCCGTTTTTTTTTTTTTTTTTTTTTTTTTTTTTTTTTTTTTTTTTTGCGAAAAGCAAACATTATTACTCGGGGTTTTCGTTACTATCGAAGAAGCAATTGCCATTGTTTTATATGAGAACTAGCAGCATGGCCTGGCGTTGCCCGTGCTTGATTCAAAAATCGTACGACTCATACAGCAATCGCTATCACTTGACTTAAAATATGTTTGCCCTTCCTTGCCTTTAAAAGAGTGCACTTTGCCGTGCTGTTGTTGCTACATGCCTTACTTCTTGCCTATCTCACACTGCGAATTTTTTCTAAGCTCTATACTAAACATTAAATCTGTTACGAAAAAAAGAACTAAACAAAATGAACACAAAACGATCAGCTTTAAAAAAAAAAAAGGACTCTTAATTGGAAAAGCCGAATGAAAAAAGAATGTTAACAACAAATACTTTTTCACACCCAACCGAGTTCTGCGGAATCAGAATCAACGTTGAGTTTAAGCCAAGTGGAGTAAAGTGCCATGCAGATTTAAATTTTTCACACTTGTGACGAATGCAGCTATCGATTTTTTTTGCATGCTAGTTAACATTCGTGTCAGTCAGCTGTTGGCTCTCACGCTGGCCAATAGAATCTTCCTGGCAGCCAGCTAAAGGCTCTCACTCTGGCCAGTAGAAAATGGCCACAAACTACATGAAAACTGTCGTAGAAGCATGAAAAAATCGATTATTTCCGCTATCGATGGGAGTTGGGAAATGCAAGGTCGGTACTGGCCTTCCCGCTAACTTGGAGCATATGCATGTAAATTTTGGTGCAAATTCTTCCAAAATTGCAGCCGTGCATTCGTTACACACACACACACACATCCTACATTTTATAGATAGAGATTATTTTTAACCGTTCCCAAACCCTTAAAATAACCTATGGCTGCTTGCCTTTATACTGAGGGTTTGAAATACGGCTAGATTTCTGACTGTTTAGCCCAATGTTTCTCAACCTTTTTAAGCAATGGCACACCTAGGAGCAAATGAGAATATCACGACACACTTAGCAACATTTTTAAAGGCTATACATTTAAAAATTATGAAATAAAACCATAAATTTAAAAAGAAATAAACACACAAATATAAAATGGCTTTATTTCAATGTTTCTATTCAAGTATTTGTGCAGCTTACTCAGTGTGAAAACTGTGCCTGGGGTTTTGTCGCCATTTCTTCAATATTTGGTCGAATGTGCGATAAGCAGACTCCCATTTCTTCTTCAGTTTAGCGTAGTCTTTCTTGCTTCTTATTTTTAATGTTATTTACCGTTAAAAAGCCTAATTCACATAAATAAAAAGTAGAAAATTGCAATAAAACTGATAAAGCTTTATTTTTTATTAATGTGAGACAAAAAGTGTAATACTTATTCATTTATTCAAGTCCTAACGATGTACCATTACGACTTACACACTTACACACACACACATGTATGCCGTGACAATAGTATCGTGCACTACATTAGTGCGCGCGGCACGGCTGTTGAAAATCACTGGTCTACACTGAGAAATATGACAAAGATTGGGACAATAGTTCGAAGAATGTGAATAGTATAAATAAGTCTTACTTATTTTACAGAGTAGCCTCCATGACCAACAATTGCCTTGATGCTGAGGGTTTGATATTATTTAGGGTTGACACGTGGAACTAGAACAATCTACCCCGGTTGTTGAAATAATGGGTTCGGTTCGAAATTCCAACATACATCACCCGAAGAAGGCCGGAGCGTATAACGGCCAAAACATCGTAAATATGACAATAAAGATGAGGAAAATAGTTCGAACAATGTGAATGGTATAAATAAGTCTTACTTATTTTACAGAGTAAACCGCCAAAAATCGCACATATCAAAATTCAAATTTATTTATTTTATGTTGCTAACAGTTTTACTATAGAAAGGAATTACAAATTCAGACGAAAGGGGGTAACCAGTGTTTAGAAACTAATGTAATGATAGAAAGGGAAAACTTTTTAAAGAGTCTACATTTAAATGTTATGATATAAAACTATAGATTTTTTTTAAATAATCATAAATCTGAACTTAATTTATTTCAGTGTTACCATTCAAATATTCATGAAGCTTATTTCGTGTGAAACCTGTGCCTGGTCTTTTGTCACCATTTCTTCAATGTTTAGTCGAAGGTGCGATAAGCAGACCCCCATTTCTTCTTCATTTGAGCTTAGTCTTTCTTGCTTCTTATTTTTGACGTTATTTAGGGTTAAAAAGCCTAATTCACATGAATAAAAACTAGAAAATTACAATAAAACTGAGGCACACGTAAGTGTGAAACCCTTGCCTGGTGGGTTTTTTTAATTTATTTATTTATTTATTTTTTTTTTACGGTTTCTTCAATATTAGGTCGAATGTGCGATAAGTAGACCCTCATTTCTTCTTCAGCTGAGCTTAGTCTTTCTTGCTTCTTATTTTTAATGTTATTTACCGTTAAAAAGCCTAATTCACATAAATAAGACGTAGAAAATTGCAATAAAACTGCGGCACGCGTAAGATCGCTCAGCAGACTAGTGTACGCCTGCAAGACAATTAATTATCACCGGTTTATCCTCAAGGACACATGGCACAGTGGATAAAGGCGTTGGTTAGATTCAGTGACAGAGTGTGAGTTCAATACCCGGTTAAGGCAGTGGAGAACTAGCAGATGCGGAATTAACAAGAGATAACTGATAACTGACATCCATTAAACATGGCACGTGGAACTAGAACAGTCTACCCCAGTGAGCGAAATAAAGGGTTCAGTTCGACATTCCAACCACCTGAAGAAGGCCGGAGCGTACAACGGTCGAAACATTGTAATAAATATGGCGACAAAGATGAAGGCAATAGTCCGAATAATGTAAATAGTGTACATAATACCTCATCTCAAAAATATAGACAGATACTGAAAGGCCGAAACGTTGTAATAAATATGGCGACAACGATGAGGACAATAGTCCGAATAATGTAAACAGTGTACATAATACCTCATCTCAGAAATATAGACAGATACTGAAAGGCCGAAACGTTGTAATAAATATGGCGACAAAGATGAGCACAATAGTCCGAATAATGTAAATAATGTACATAATACCTAATCTCAGAAATATAGACAGATACTGAAAGGCCGAAACGTTGTAATAAATATGGCGACAAAGATGAGCACAATAGTCCGAATAATGTAAATAATGTACATAATACCTAATCTCAGAAATATAGACAGATACTGAAAGGCCGAAACGTTGTAATAAATATGGCGACAAAGATGAGCACAATAGTCCGAATAATGTAAATAGTGTTAGACTAAATAGTTAAATAGTTTTCATTTTCTTTTTATGCAGTCAAAACAACTCGCAAAACCGTCTAAAGCAGTGTTCCTCAACCTTTTTTTTTTTTTTTTTTTTTTTTTCCAGTGCACCCTTTTCGCAATAAGACAGAATGCCATTAACCCACTTTTCACTTTTATCTGATTCAAAAGGTGCATTCCAAATAATAGTCATTCTTTATATATTAGTACATGGATTATTTTTTTTATAGAGGAATTATTTCAGATTTAATAGCAATAAACAAAAATTTCAATAGAATTCCAAGGTACTGTTATACAATAAACAAAATTCTGTAAATAAAAAACAAAAGTTAAAAGATTCCCCACCTCCAAAATTGTCAAAGAGTCTTATAAATAGGTTGAAAGAATTGGAATTATTTTTCCTTTTAATTGTTTTTATTATCATTCACATAACTTAGCTTCGTATCTTGCAATGCCATAAGCGAGGAACATGTTCTCTCCAATAGAGATGGTCCGTAATCATTGTCCCATTTTTTGAGACAATTTTATATTTACTGATCAAATAATATTAGGACAGTAATTCTCAAACTTTTTGCCCAGTGTACCGTTTTTCACCATAAGACAGAATATCATTCCCCGTCTTTTCCAAGAAAAGGTTCATTCCAAATAATATACATATATTAATGAAAACCTTCATTCTTCCCAGTATTAGTACATTTACATACATTATTTTTATGGGGGACTTTTTCCGATATAATATCATTAGGAAATGCTAATGGATTTTTAAACTTAAATATATGTACAGTGATTTGTTTTAATTCATAACTAATTATGAAATAAATAAACTGAAGCATATCTCAATAAACAAAACGTTCAATAGAATGTCAGGGTATTGGAATTCTGAACTTATATTATTCGGAATATTATCCTCATCTTCGTTGCCATATTTATCACAACGTTTCGGCCGTTGTATGTTCCGGCCTTCTTCAGGTGGTTGGAATGTCGAAATGATCCCTTTATTTCGCTCGCTGCGGTAGAATGTTCTAGTTCCACGTGCCATGTCTAATCTCCTTTTAATTCACCTCTCCAAGTTCTCCACTGACTTAACCAGGTATTGAACGTCATTAAGAACACATGGCACAGTGGATAAAGACGTTGGTTAGATCCAGTGACAGGACCCAAAGAGTTGTGAGTTCAATACCTGGTTAAGGCAGAAGAGAACTTGGAGAGGTGAATTAACAGGAGATAACTGTGGACTTGTATGCAGGTCACTAGCGACACAAACATAAAAACTGTATGAGGTTGTCGGATCCTCATACGTCGAAATCGACGGGAGAGTCCATCATACATACATGCACACACACATACACATACATACATTCATATATATATATATATATATATATACCCGGTGTAACAGCATAGGATAATTATCCATCCCCCCAAAATATTTAATATCTAAAAACCACTAAACTAAATGAGTTTCTTTTTTCCATGTTTTTAGATAAGACGTTTAGCCATCTTGACATCATTTGTTGTAAGAATCACTGAAGAACGCTTTGTTATTCATTTAGAAAGAGAACAGGTTAATATCATTTTGTGTCAGCCCCACTCTGTCTTTCTAACTGAGCAATGGCGGGTGGAAAAAGATTATTCAAGTCTTAACTCTGACTTCCATCTTCAAAGTCCCTTCAAGAACCATCAAGAAAATGGTGAATAAGTTTAAAAAAAAGAGGGAACAGTATGGAGGGAAATCTGGATCAAGAGGTCACAACAGCAAGAGGGATCATCATTTCAACTCTATACATTCTTATTGTTCAAAGTAGAGTCCAACAGTGTTATAAACATTTCCAAAGCACAACGTTTCAAAGCTGTTATACCCGATAATATATATATATATATATATATATATATATATGATGTCATAATTATTTGTTGGTTTTCCATAAACAAACCTTCAGGCCGGTAAATGTTGTTAATACTGTTTATTATAAACAAAGCATTTACTTAAACATGTGTGTCTATATAAATAACGTATAACAATGAAATATATTAGAATAATTGTATATATCAACAAACAGTATTCAGAAAAAATATGGCAGATGTTTTTTTTTTTTTTTTTTTGCGTGTTTCATCCGTTACGATTTCATCGGACTGGACTTTGTTGATGTTGCCACGTCTACGCATGCGCACGAAACGAGAGACGCCAAATCTTGAAAGAGGAATTTACTCTAACAAATGCAGGAATTGCCAGAATGAATACATAGGAGAAACCTCAAGAAGTTTATACAAGAGACTATATGAACACAAAAGGGACATTTTAAATAACAACACATAAAACACATTGGTTGTTCACCATAAGAAAATGGACCAGAATTTTGACATAGGGAAAGCTACTTTTATTAAAACAGAAAATAATCCACTGAGACGAAAATGATAAATTAAGTACCTTGATCGCTGGTCCAGCTACGATAAATATTGGGATACAAGGACTTTTAATGAGCTTTTCAATTTTGGATTCATATATGTACTTTTCACTTAATAACAATATTAACTAAACTCCTTGAAGTAATGCAGAATTTTAAACGATTTAAATTATTTTATTAATTTTTTTTTTAAAATGTAAATACTTCTTGGAAAAATTAATTATTCATCGATTTTTTTTTTCTTAAGACAATAATGTCCTTAATAAATCTTATTTATAATTATAAGCTTTTCAAATTAAATAATGTCACAGTTTTATTGCATTTTTATTTTGTGATTCAGAGCAGATAATTGTAACTGGGGTAACTGTTTTACAAAATGAAAAAAAAATTGGTAATTTACATTCTCCAAGGAGTCCTGTTTTTAAATAATAAAACAACTTTTCTCCTTGAATTTTAATTTCTCGAAAGTTCATGAAATTAAGTGGGAGAGGTTGGAGTAAGATACGTAAAAAAAATATTTTTTACAAAGATTTTCTAAAACAAAAGATTTCAAAAATAATTTCATTCATTTGTGAAAAAGTTCTGAAAAATTTCATTAAAATCCAACAATTATTTGATTTTTGCAAGAATTTCTAAATCTTTTGGAGGTACCTATAATCTTTTACAAATGTTTTGTCTATTCAAATGAATAAGTTAGAAACAAATCACACCCAGAAATGTGTTAATAAAGCTGTCATCAGTTATAATATTATACCAAAACTTCATCTATTTTTTTTCTAATTATACAAGGAATCAACTTTTCTCCGTTTCTAAGGCAGATTCTTTTGTTGGGTAAATGGTTGCGGTATATTTAATAAAAAAGAATACCTTAATTCTTTGAGTAGCACAGTCTAATAATGTACTGTACCTCATACGGCCCACTGTTAAAAAAATGGTTACCCATAACATACTTTACTAATTCTCGATATCATGTAAATATGCACACATAAGCATATTCAACTGAAAGTTTATCATATATAGTGATTTTCCAAGCCTAGCTCAGATGTGGTACAAGGCCGAAAGTATGTGGTACCCAGTGAGGACCAAACTCACAAATCAGTCGTAATAGTTCTAGCGAGAAAAGCTTGCTTACTATTACACCACCTCGAGGTGCCCAAAGTTTATCATATATATATATATATATATATATATATATATATATATATGTGTGTGTGTGTGTAACAAACGTTAAGATATTTTTTGCCTGTAATTCTTGTATTTTATTCCTCTACTAGAGTTATCAGATTTGCAATGTCAGGTGGCAGTATTTTTTTTTTTTATGACACTGACCTTTGCAAAATATTTACATAACTAGTAGGTGAATGGATCGACTATTTGGAAGTGCAGAACGCAAAAAAAACATTGTTTTTTTTTCTAATATTCGAAATCTCACCTTTTCTATAACAGTAAAGTCTTTAAAAAAATATGTCTCCGGCGTAAACGATTTAAGTAAACAAGTATTAATATAAGTAAACTAGTATTAATATAAGTTTCTGATACACGTAAAGTGAAGAATCTGTTTATTTTTATTGTTATTAAGTGATAAACCAATTTCTGTTAACTATTTCACTCCAAGCAAGGCGGTAATGTCAGTAGAACGCAGGGGATTAGAGGAAATTGAAAGTGAAAGTAAAAACTGACAAAAGATTAACAGGTTTGAAGAACGCAGAAGATGGCGTTTGACGTTGCCTTTAAACTTTTGAAGATTGTAGTTATCAGGAAAGCAAAGCATCTAAAGGGTGTTCCACAGGCGGGAAGTGCGAAAAAAAAAACTTTTTGAATAGATGCGACGGTTGCATTTGGCTATTTCAACAGTAAACGGGTGGGACCTAGATGCCAATCTAGTAGCGCGCTTAAATTCATGTATTCAGAGCACTAGGGAAAAAAAGTACGTCAGAGCAGTTGCCATAAAAATATCTGTAGAAAAGACAGAGGGATGCCACGTCACGTCATTGAGAAAGTGACTTGGATCGAGTTGAGATATATAGATACGAGCAAATTGAGATAGATAGATAGATAGATAGATACGAGCAAATTGAGATAGATAGATAGATAGATACGAGCAAATTGAGATAGATAGATAGATAGATAGATACGAGCAAATTGAGATAGATAGATAGATAGATAGATAGATACGAGCAAATTGAGATAGATAGATAGATACGAGCAAATTGAGATAGATAGATAGATACGAGCAAATTGAGATAGATAGATACGAGCAAATTGAGATAGATAGATACGAGCAAATTGACATAGATAGATACGAGCAAATTGACATAGATAGATACGAGCAAATTGACATAGATAGATAGTTAAAGATAGATAGTGAAAGTGTAACTGAAATATGTTTTAAAGTTTTCAAAATATGAACTTTAATTAAAAAGATCAAACAGTATGAAAAAAAAGTCAGGTTAAGCTGACGCCAGAATAAGGTTACAAATATTGTTTATTTTCAAAGTATTGTCTTTTCAGATAGAAAAAGAAAGTCGTGATATAATTCATTGTTTTATTTTTTTATTTATTTTTTTTAATTTTATTTTTATTTATTTATTTTTTTTTTTATGAAACAAAAACAATCTTCAGTTTTTTACTTAGCATCAACTGGATAACAACCATATCTAAAACGGACAAGAAAAAAAAACTATAAATCCAATGCTGGTTTACGGTTTACATTTAAGCTTAAATTTACACTCTTCAAGAACAAACGACTCAAAAGACAGGGCTAAGAAATTTGTATTGCTCTAATTGACGACTTTGAAAATCAGAAATAAAAATAAAATCTATTAATTACCTTGTACTAACCAAGCTCTACATCCACAGGTGAGAGGTTGCCACAGGTTGGGAGGTGCGAGAGAAGAAACTGTTAGAATAGAACTTATGGTTACACCTACCTAACTCAACAGATAAATGATGAGACCTAAATACCAATCAAGTACTGCGTTTGCATTCATGAAATCGAGGTACCAAAGAGGAAAGCACATCAGCATAATTGTCATGAAAATATTTATAGAAAAGGCACAGGGAAACAACATTCAGCAGTGGGAATATCTGTCTATCTATTTCAGCTTGTTCATATCTATCAACCTATATATCTGTTTAGGGGTCCACCCCTTTTTTATATACAAGTGGACTCGCCCAGTGTGTACTTGTACTGCTGCCGGTGAATACCCGGAACTGAGGCAGTGAGAGAGTGAGGTAACCGCTTTATAGGAGCACGTAGACTCAGAGGGAAGTCATACTTCGATACTGAATTTCCCAGACTGTATATATATATTATTATTGCTACTAACCGCATTTCTGGATCTACTAACCGTATTACCAATTGTATTATTACGTCAATACATTTATTTACTATATTTCATTCCTGCGTTTGTCATTTATTTGAGACCGGATTTCATCCCGGAATCCACAACAATATCTGTCTAAGCCTGTTCATACCGATCTCAATTTGTTCATATCTATCTATGGATCTCAACTTGTTCATATCTATCTATGGATCTCAACTTGTTCATATCTATCTATCTTTCTCTAATCCATATCTATCTACCTTCTATCTTTCTCACATCCATATTTATCTGACATTTCTCTCTATCTCACATCCATATTTATCTATTACACATCTTTACCTATCTCACATCTCTATCTGTCTTTCCCACATTTATATCTATATATCTCTCATCTATCTCTCACCTCCATCTATAGTTATCTGTCACAGTCATCTACATCTATCTATGTCGCATCCATCTATATCTACCAATCTTCGTTCATGTCCATCAATCTTACTCTGTCGACATACAATTGTCTTAGCCTTATCAAATCTCCCTCTCCCCCCGCCTCTCTCTCTCTCTCTCTCTCTATATATATATATATATATATATATATATTCTCAGATCAATTCTGTGGACAAGACAGATTGGTATAAAATGACAATATATATATAGAGAGAGAGAGAGAATGTTCATATATAACTATCTCTCTTTCTTTCAACTCTAGTCTATTCCTATTTTTCTATCAGTGTTATTTATTGGAGATTCGGAATAAGAAAACTGTAAGGACTTTTTCTGAAATTACATCGAAAAGACATTTTTCTTTTCATCTTGAAAGTGCAATTAATGTTACCGAAAGTCTTTTAAAAATGTGAATCAAAAATATGAATTCCGGCAAAAGAAGTCGATAAATGAATGAAGAAAAAAAATCCATTATTTCCTATTTCGTCGGACGTTTCTCGCATGGCCTTCGCACAAATTTCCCTGATTGAATTTCTTTAAAGTTGAGTGAACGTAGATCACGTGATTCCATGAATCATATAAAAGAAATTGTCTTTCGTTTCTGCAGAGAAGAAAGATTTTAGGCGCGCAGAAAAGAGAAGCAAAGGTTTAAGTGCTTTTACATATATGCAAAAGCACTTAAATCTTTGCTTCTCTTTGCTTCGCACACCTCAGTCTTTGCTTCAACAACACACATATTTGTCTCTCTGTCTCTCATATATATATATATATATATATATATATATATATATATATAAGGTGGGAGTGTGCAAATCAACTAAATCTTTGCCTCTCTTTGCTTAACCGATCTAACATACATGTGTGTGTAAAAGCACCTAAATTTTTGCTTTTCTTTGCTTCACACACGTAAATCTTTGCTTCTCAGCAGAAACGAAAGACAATATCTTCTTATATAATTCATGAATATATATTCTCCGATAAAACGAATACAGTTATCTCAGTCACTGGTGTGTTTTTCTAAAAATAAATACGCTTAAAAATTCACCTTCATCCCTGCCGTGCGCCAATGGCTTAGAGGTAGATTCTCCCAACTGACGCCAATTCAGCCGGGTTTCGATCCTAGCTAGATTCAACCGGACGTCTAGCCACACTGATGAGCTGTGATACAGCAAAACTGTCTGTGGATGACATATATATATATATAATGTGTGTGTGTGTATTTATATAGATATATTTAGAAGTATGTGTTTGTGCGTTTGTATAACTATTTATATTACTAAGTGCATGCATATTAAACGAAAGTTTTAATATTCGAGAAGTCAATCTGACGTAGAATGGATTTCAAAAACTTCTGATGTTTCGTCAACGCCTTGAGAACTTTATCTATGTATATCTTGCATTGAGGAAAAGATGCCTTCCAAAAACTAAGCAAAGTATTAAGAGATTGCAAATTTTCGTTAGAAGCAAAGGAAAGAATGCTGAACTACGTAATATCTATCCTCCTATCTGACAATGGATACTAGACAATCGTATCACAGGAATCACGTGACTGTTATGTGGTTCCACTGATGAATGGTAAGAATAACATATATAGCATATGTGAGCAATAAGTTTGAAAGAAAATCGAAACTCCAAAGAATCAGAAACAGACATTTGACATTTTTGGGACACATAATGAAGAAAGAGTGCTTACTGAATTTAACATTCACATGACATATTCAAGGCATGCAGAAAGAGCGAGTAATCTACTAAACGAGTTGATCTAAATGGATGACAGAACAAAGACAAGTCGGGTAACAGCGGTTAAAAACATACTTAGAGGGATGTTAAAAGGTCAAAGGTCACAGAGTAATAAAAGATAGGAGGCTGTGGAGAGAAATGATCACACAAGTCCTGAAGTGATACGGCATAAAACAGAAGGATAGGAGTAAATAGCCTCTCCTATAATCCGGTTCACACTCCTCCCTGCTCTTTTGAACAAGAGTAGAGGTTTATCCTTTGTTTCCTGTTTAGGATTGGGTTTTCGATTCCTTCTAAAGTCTACTTCAGCTCTATACTCTTTAACGCTTGTCCTTTCCTACGCTAATATAAGTCAGTAACCTTCTACCTTGAGTCTCTCTTGAGCCTTGTATTGGATATATATATATATATATATATATATATATATATATATATATATATATATATTCTTATATGTGAATTTGTATATATGCGTGCGTATTTGTGTAAGTACGTGAGGGTTGTCACCTCGTTTTTGAGTATGACCATTACAAAATATTGTAAGACTTGATATTCAGCATACAAAAAAAACATTTTAACCCTTAGCATGTCCTGCGATGATGCACAGGACATGTGATTTCCATGTCCGTGCACCATATGTAATTCATACGAGAATGGTGAAACTAAGCATGCTTAAGTGTCTACTACTGAATAGGACGTCTGAGGAAAGGTCTAATCGAATATTTTGTGCATCGTATATGATCACAGGACGCTTGCCTGTTTTTAGATTTATAACTACTGCAGGGCAACTCAGCTTATTTGGCAAATAGAATCTGCTGATATATAGTGTTTCACGCAATAAAAACCTGTACATCACATGTGATGCACAGAGTGTAGTGTAAATAACATATGATTTATACGTTTTTATTATGTGAAACACTATATATCAGCAGATTCTATTTACCAAATAAGCCGAGTTGCCTTGCAACAGTTATCAATGTGAAAACAAGCAGGAATGTTTGGATAGTACACATGAAAATACCCTGGACAGCCATAGGATTAAGATATCATTCAATGCCTGGGCATCCAGTTTTAAAGAGGATGAAGACATTGCAGTGGTTTAATCCCACTCTCTAAGCAAGAACTGCATGTACCCAGAAAGAAGAACCAGTCAATATCGTTAAATGCTATCAAGCCACAAGTATTAGATCAGAGTTTTCCTTGTCCTAGGTGGATCAGTCAGTTTTGTGCCATGCGTGATACATGACTGACGAGGCAGATTTTTCCCCATAATAGGTTGTCATTTCTTTCTGCGGTAGACCAGTTGCTATCCAAGGCTACAGAACCCGGTCTGTCCTGCTATTTACCCATAGCTGGAGGAAGAAGAGGATTCATACCTTTACCTTAGCGATATCAATCAATGCCTATACATGAAACTTGGAAGAAGACGTTGCATTTGGTCAATCCCACTCTCTAAGCAATGACCCAAAAAAGAAGGACTAGTCAACATTATAATGAACACTACAATATGTGTCTTGTAATAAACAATACCCTGATGATGACATTGTGATATGTCGAAAGTACTCGGAATAAAAGAAATATGTATCGACACGGCGATTTTCTCTCGTCCTTGAATAACGACTGCAAAAAGATTAGCCGTGAATATGAAAGGATCCACTTGAAAATAAGTAGAAAGAATTATTCAACGAAACATCTCTCTCTCTCTCTATATATATATATATATATATATATATATATATATTATATTAAGGTATGCTACATTTATGTCAAAAGTGCTCAATATCAGAAGTAGAGCGAGTGTAAATATAAAAGTGGAAAATGAAGTCAACGTCAATAGAAAAGTTCACTACAAATAGATGGGTAATTCGC